GTTATTTTGCACAAGTCCCATCTGGAGACAAACCTCTAATCAACACTGAAAGCGTTTTGTGAGGCGTTTTCTACGCTGCAGACAGAATAAGTCCATTTACACTGAATCCGTGAGACGTGCATCTCCTGTAGAACCAATTTTTTTTTTTTAACATGCCTGTCGTTTCCCTCAGCTGCGTTTAGTGAAGCATAATCTCCACAGTCAGCTGTTTAAATTTCACAAATCCTGATGTTTTCTGTTTCTACTGGAATCTATTACGACGTCTGCTTTGTTTCCCTTTTGCCGTCTGTAAAGAGCCAGGAAAACTCAGTAAATCCATAGGCTACATAAAAAGGCAATTTCTTCCTGATGTGCTTACATCAAAACAATTTGTTCCAGTACATTTGTGCTGTCTGTCCACCAGGTGAAGACTCCTTCCCCTGTCTCTGTCCTAATGACACACAGCTGTTGACTTTAAGGACAGAACTCACTGCTCACGTCTCGCTTTCAGTGCATTTTCCCAGTAACAGCACCAGTAAACCAGTGTACTCACTGTAATGTGTGTGACTCCAGACCCTGGTTTAGCTTACTGGTCTGTGCCGTAGACCTCCACTGTTGTGTCGCTCTGCTGAGTAGTGTAAACAGAGCAGAGCTCAGAGACTCCTTCTTCCTCCAGACACTGTACAAAGTGACAGTCGTTACCAGCCCTTGGAGCCATTTGATGAGAACAGATGGGCCTCACGTCTGTCACCCAGTGCAGCAGTGTGGCTAACTGTGTTAATAGTCGAACAGTGGAGGTCTATGGCACAAACAATAAGCTAAACTGGGGTTTGGAGTCACACACACGTTACATTAAATACACCACATTCACTGCTCCTGTTAGTCTCTGGCTGAGGTTTGTGGGGAAATAACAGACGTTCTCCCTCAATCTCCCCTCATTATTTGGGTTCCTGTTGGAGCAAACTGACCTTTAGGTCTCAGAGGACTCACTCTAAAATCCATATAGTTGTGACATTAACTTGGTTTGAGTTATCACCGTCCACAGAGCAAAGCAGGCAAAGCTTTCATGTATGTTACAAATTTCAAAAAGACTTGTGACAAAGAGAAATCCACCCACAGCAGCAGGTTAAATTTATCGCCACTGTTTATGGAAATGAGTGTACGACTTTGGTGCCCCCATGTGGTAATATCAAAATAAACACCGTGGCAGACCATTCACAGAGCCCAGTTCTACACAAGTAAAGTATAATGCTGCTCGGTCTTGTTGCTTGCTTCTTCTCATGACAGGTCCAAATGTAATGTTGTAAAGTAAACTGGGTTAGTGCCACATCAAAATAAAGCAGGAGGGCCTCGTTTTCTACCACAGCAAAGATGTCTGAGGGTGGATTTTTCTTTTGATTAACAATGAGACAAAATGACTAACAGGTCAGTTTCAGTGACAGCGGGTTCTCTACAGAGGGTCTGAGGATGTGGCAGTGAAAAGAATGGATGTTGAAGAACTGATCCCTGTGGTGAAGTCTCACCTTTAACACGCCTGCTTCTCCCACAGCCGTTCCACTGGCTCTCCACCCCCTGAACAAAGAGAGCTGTCACAGAACCCCGGCAGTGCTGGTTCAGACGGGCACAGGCTGTGACACACTTGTACAATGTCTACTTCCATGCCGATCGTGTGCTGAAAGCTCGTCAGTAATCACAGGTAGGTGCTGGGGTTCTCGGTGACAGCCAGGTGGAAGTACTCGGGTTGACTGTCCCTGTGCATGCTGCTGCTGGATTCCCTCCGCCGCAGTTTGGTGGAGAGGGTCTTTCTCTTGTCGAAGTCCTCGGTCCCAGTTCCACGCTTCTTCAGACTGGACACTATCATTTCCGCCAGGTCCTGCTGGAGCTGCTGGAAGTTCTCCCTGTAACGGGAGCATGACGATTATTTCAGATTGTGCGCTCAAATATAGGAACATGCAAAATTATCCAAAGCCCTGTTGAGCTTTTACAGCTTCTGTTTACTTGAAAAACAAGTTATACAGTGGTAATAATCACATTTACAAGACTACTTAGCTTATTATTAAAAACGGATCATATATATGATTTTCTGCATTTGATTATAACTTTTTAAAATATATTTAAAGATAAGGCTACTTCCTGATTTTGTCACAATCCAATCAAATCCAAAAATTTCTACCAAGATCACTGTTTCCATCCAAATTTAGCAAATATTACCTGAATTTCATGAAAATACAAATGAATGCAGGTTACTGTTATGTGAATATTAGGAGTTGGTTGGAGAAGTGTAATCAATAGTGCACCAGTCAATATTAATTCTTGAGAGCTTGTGTTTATAAGAGTGGCCCTGACTAACACCTCCAACCACAACTATCACCAGCACGGAGGCATAAAAATGGGTGGATGAAAACCCACCTGCTGTTTTGTAGCTGAACACAGTTTTAAACAGCAGTGAGTTGGGATTTAGAGGGGAGTATCTTTCAGCAACAGCAGCATGGTTCACAGACAGGAGACATGTTTCCAGTCAGTCTAGCGAGACTATGTTTTACTCACGCTGTTGGTGGTGTCGGCAGTTTGTATTTTCCCCCAGTCACTCCTGTTAACCAGTATGTCATCTCTTTACCTTTACCCTGTGGGCCAGGTGCACAAGGACATACACACACACACACACACACACAGAGGAAAGGGAAATTAGTAGCCACTACCTGTATGGTTACATTAGATGTGAATACCTGGTTGTATGAGGACATAAAAAGCAAACACAAAGTCAGCTCACCTTCAGGTACGTCTCTCCTCTCTTTTCATACTCAAACCCGCAGCCTGTTCTCTGCAGGATGTTGATGGTGGACTGGCTGACATGAATTCTCAGAGCTGGAAAAATGACCAGAAAGAATTGTCAGTCAGACCCTCGGCACGCTTACAGAAACTGAAGATCACAAGCTGCACCTTGACTTCCAATATTGACTGCTTTTGTGTGTGTGTGTGTGTGTGTGTGCGTGTGTGTCTTACGCAGGCCTGTAGACTCCATGCGTGAGGCGGTGTTCACTGTGTCTCCAAAAAGGCAATAGCGAGGCATCTTCTTCCCCACCACGCCTGCTGCACAGGGTCCTACACACATTACAAACAATCTTTAAAGTATTACATAATGAAATATGGTAGTACTGCACTTCGTGTGACAAGAAAAAAAAAACATGCATTTCTACTGCTATAAAATATACTGATGCTAAATTTTAAGGGAATGTTATGAGCTCTAACAAGAACCACATTAAATTAGGCAAAATGACAGATTGTTACCTGAATGCACACCGATACGAATCCACAGAGGGATGTCAGGCAGGTGTTGCAACTCAAAAGTCCCTACAAATGTCAGGATGTCCAGGGCCATGTGGGCGATGTCCACTGCATGCCTGGTACCGTTGCGTTTGGGCAAACCTGATGCAACCATGTACGCATCACCTATGGTCTCAACCTGAGACACATAAATACAAACATTAACTCTGTCAACCTAAGCCTTCTTAACCATTGTACAAGAATTTACTGACAACCTACTGAAATGCAACTAGAAAAGGCTCAACTCCCACCTCTATGCTGCAACCCTTCTGACCCTCTGGGTAAACAGTAGACTATGAAGGACCGAAGCCTGAACTCAGACCAAACTACCTTGTAGACATCATGGTGGTCGAGGATGCTGTCAAAGTTCTTGTAGATTTCGTTGAGCATGTCAACCACCTCCATGGGGGTGCTGTAGTGGCACAGGGTGGTGAATTCCACGATGTCACTGAAATAGATGGTCACCTCCTCAAACAGCTCCGGCTCCACTTTGCCCGTCTCCTTCAGTGAACGCACCACTGGGCTGAAGGAGAACAGTGAAAGTGAATTCATAGCTTCTGATAACATAAAAAAAATTTACTTTCCTTTACACTATACAAATACAGCTTTGTGGCCTTTAAATGGTGGGAAAGATTATTAATGCCAAGGGAGCAAGACATTAATTTTGTAAGAAAAATCATTGTTTTGAATCAAAATATACATCAATCAAAAAGAATTGTGCTTCCTTCAGCTCTGTATCGAATGTGTTAGTTGCAGACAACAGAGAAAACAGGAGGAATGAGAACAGAAAACTTTGCTTATAACAGAGACTTCTCCGTGGGACTGTCAGGCTGATGAGCATCCTGCACAGTACACACAGTCATTTGAGCCTGTGTAAAATAAAGAAAAGATCAGTGCAGCTTTAAACAAGTATCTGATTTCCCCTCTGAGACAGAAAGGACATAAACCTACCCAGGAAGTAGCATAAAGTTGAGGCGATCAGCTCTGTCCCTCTCAGCTTTATACAAAGCCGTCCTCTCCTCCACCAGACGCTCCAGAGTCCTCGAGTACATCTGCAGGCGACGGATCAGGTTGTCCATGTAGGTCTCAGTGCCGTGGTTGTGGAGGTCACTGTGTAAGTGGAAAATAAATACCATTACTGTCAATGTTTATATCAATTATTGATTTACTTATCATGGAAGATAATCATGCAGCATGAGGTACCTCACTGTAATAAAAAGGGAAAACATACTGATTAAACAAAAATATATGGACACCTCTGTCCACATAGTATCATGTGGAAACTCTTCCCCAGTGGAGTTGAGACTGTTTTACAGTTATTGCATATTAACGTTCAGGGTCCAGGACTGATATGTAATGTTGTAGTGTCCACATACATTTGGCCATGTGGTAAGTTACAGAAATGATCAAAAGTCACCCTAAATGAAGGTGTAGTGTTCACGTACCTGAAAATCTTCCCCAGAGCTACCTCTATTTTCTTAAAATCTGGCCTCCGTTCTGGGTCTTCATCCCAGCAGCTCTTTATCAGCATATACAGCTACATGACATGTGGCCAAAGAGAAAAAAATCAGGGAGTGTTTTCCCCACCTTATTTAACTTTGATGGATCTTCATGGTCAGTGTGTGTTACTTTAAGAGCAAATGTCCTCCTCAGTGTTTAGTGGCTCTCTTACCTCGATCTCCCTCTGTGTCGTGCCGTCAAAGTTGAGTTCTGGTCTGAAGACGCTCGTCCCGGTGGGATACTGCACCCTGAGGATCTTCTCTGAGGGATCAGAAGACAGTCAAACAAGACGAGCAGGATGATCACTTGTTGTCAGTTACATTTACACCAAGGGACTATAACATGTACATACAACAATACAGCTTTTTCCTTGAGCACATATGGTTTTTATGTGACAAATAATTATGGTTAAGGGAGCAGGACACCGATTTAGTGAGGGAACACACCGTTTTGAATTATAATGTGCATAAATAATACACACTATTTCGGGCTTAAAGCTGGAAATTTTGCAAAACATGCCCTATCAAAAAGATTCTTGTTTCCAGGCTGTTTGAAATAAGTTATATATACAATCGGTTTGAACACAAATGGAACATTATCACCTTCACAAAGGAGGATTTATAACGGTGTCCCAAATTATCCAGGCTTACCTGCAGGATCTGAGCATTTCTGTGTATAGAATGGGGTCCGCCTCATAAGAATCTCATGGGCAATGATGGCATAGCTGTAGACATCACCTTTCTGAGACGCCCCATATTCACCTTTCTGAGACACCCCATAGTTGCGAAGATGCTCTGGGGCTGTCCACACATCTGAAAGGAGAGGAGAAGCTGAGCGTCCAGTACTCTGTGTTTAGATCAGCAAACAACCACAGTGATGATGAAAAACTCACCTCTGCCTGGCCTCAGGATGGTGTGCCAGCCAAAGTTAGTGATCTTAACCACCATGCGGTTGTCGACCACACAGTTGGTCGACTTGAGGCGACCGTGGACCCCGATGTTACTGGAGTGGAGATACGACATGCCCTGTAGAAGACATAAAGCAGAAGGGCTGTACAGAGGTGATATCTGGTGTATCGTCATATCCTCCGTCGTTTTTCCTGCAGTTTAACTAAATATTACTGAGGGAAACTAAAGGTACAGTAAACAATGCAGCACTTTTCTATTTTGTCCTCCATAGAAATGAACAAATAGAGTCTATGAGTAAATGACACAGCCAAAAAAATAAATCAATCAAACATTTACCTTTGCTATGTCATACATGACAGAGATCTTAAACTCCATGTCCATGAACGTGTCATCTGGATAAGAGATGGTGTCGTTCAGAATGCGCTGGGAAAATAGATAAGGCTCAGTTTTACTACCCCGATTACACGCTGTGTGATTACGTGCACTCATGCACACACTGTCGGTGTTCTTTCAACTATATGTTAGATTTATCAAATCAAAGGTAAAGTCACTGTGAGCAGAGAAAGGAGGCCACTGACTGTCACAAACATCATGTTAGTCTGTACTGTAGTCATGGAAAACTAAGTAAAGTCAAATAAACACTGCACCATAAAGCAAGGTCTGTATATAATTACTTAATCAGCCAGGCTGTAATCTCATACTTAGCCAAAAAAAAAACTAGAAATGATTTAAAGAGCCACTATACTCACACTAAGACTGTAAAGTTTAATATCAGGAAGTTCATGTTTTAAAAAAGGTCCTAAATAAAATATATTCATCTGCTCCAAAAATCAGTCACTTGTTCCTAAACCCGTTGTCAACCTGTCAAATTTAACACATCAGTTAATGTATTTTTACATTTCTTGCAAACTAACAAACATTTAAGATAAAAAATATTACCTCCCCGAGAGAGTTAAAAATGTTCTGCTGGACTTTAAAAAGTCTGCTGTCTTTGAGTATCTCCTAAAAACCTACAGGCTGATGAACAACGATGATAGAAATATCTGGCAGCAACAGGATCTGATGTGTGTAAGTCAGTGGGTTTGTGTCTGCAAGCTGGGGGGCCTTACCCTGAGGGAGCCCCTCTGACAGAGCTCAAACACCCCAAACACACCGTAGTCAAACTTGACTGTGCCGTAGAACTTTGTCAGATTGTAGTAATCGATACGCAGCAGCTGAAACATGAAGACATGGCATGGAGAATGGACAGAAAGGGTTAAAAGGGCTGGAAAACACACTTGTCTTAATGTTAGAAATGACAAGTACATGTTATTCCTAATCCAGAGACGTGTGGATTCCAACATTAGAAAGTAAACTACTAATTTATTCACATTAAACATAAAATCCAATTTATCGGTAGGGAGAAGGTTAATTTCTCTATTTGACAAAGCCAGAAATATATTTTATTGTTGAGTAAATCCTCAAAATCAAGTTAAGCATCATATTCTGGGAGAGCCTTGGGTGAAATAAAGAAAATGGGATGAAGAACTAAATCAAGAATGGAAAAAAGATGACAGCTTCACCAAAACGGCTTTGTTTAGAGATACATTTACAGCGCAATGTCGGTTTTGACTCATTTAAGATACTGCATCTGAGGATGATTTTAACCACAGTATAACACCTGTAGACAGCAGTAAACACAAAGACATCTTACTGTGTTAAGCTCAATCCTCTGATCCTCCGTGAAATCTCCATCTGTGTGTTTCAGCTCTTTCAAGATCACAGGCTACAAAGGAAGACAGAAATCAAATGATGAGAGAAAAGGTTTACATTATACTCTTTCTTTCTTAGCTAAACTGATTATTGGAAGTAGAAACCCTGATACCTTCTTGTCATAGCGGCCTCGATGAGTAAAGAACATGCTGTTCTTCCTCTCGTCATCAATCTGTTACATACATGCACACAGCAGAATGGTGATTGTACTGCAAGTCCATTAGCACAGCTCCTTACCAGGTACACATGCACTCAGTGATGAATGAACCCATTACACTCAAATGAATGACAAGTTTTACTCTTTCACAGTATCTACCTTAACTTTTTAGTACTGGACTTCAGTATAGTGTTTAGTTACATGTACTTGAGCATTTAAATGTTTTGCTACTTTACACTCAAACACTTTTCAGAGGGAAATATTAAACATTTTAAAATAGCTAATAAACCTATAACAATTTCAACTTGAGACTCCCACACCTTTGTATCATGTGACCCATTACAAAAAAGCAGTATACTAGTAGTATATACTATAATCTGACATGTTGGAAGCAGCTGAGTGATCAGGCTGTATACCTTCAGAGAGACCTCCCTCTCATCCAGCGAAGCAATCAGCTGCGGGTCAATGTGAGACCACTTCTTCTGCATCAGATGCTCTTTCCTGTTCTGCCTAACATCATTCATACACATACAGTAAATGCATGCATAATGAGTACGGGGGCATTTGTGGCCAACTCTCTTGCTTTCAGACTGCAGCAGATCCCATTACAGATTTATATGACAAACTGATCAAATGTAAACTGATGCTTCTGGTCTTTCAGTTTCCTCAGCTTCAATTAAAACCACCTTTTGCTGCTTCAGCATGAAAAACACTGCTCACTGACAATTTACATACAAGTCAGATCTGTCCTCCTTTTCTCTAAATGCAGAAATTGATTCTTTGTCTGGTTCAAATCAGATTTATTGATGCTAAAATGCTATATGTAGCACCTGTAAACAGCGGTTAAATGTGTGCTTACCAGTAGAAGATGAGAGCGATGGCTGTCACTACCACAACAGTAACGCTCAAAACAATCACAATCACCTCCTGCACATTTAAGGCTGGAAACACACACACACACACACACATGGAATAAAGCCCTTGAGGTTGTGTGAAATTTCAAAAACCTCCCCCACAATTAAAAAAAATACAAACAGAAACTAGGCTGTGATGTAATGAGACAATTAGAACCTAATATTGGACACACAGGGGAGATGTTGTGCTGCACAGCATTAATAGTTTTCAGGCTACAGTCAAGCACCACATCTGTCCCCTACATCAGTGTGTATGTATGTGTGCTTTACCTTGTGGATCATCTGGCTCATCATCAGGCAGGTGACTCCCTTCCCACTGCAGGGTAGGCTCAGAGTCAATCACTATGGTATTATTTTGCGATGTGTCAAACAATAACAGAGTTTCATACTGGGGAGAGACAAAAGCAGAGTTAAAAAGAAATGTTCACGTTTGTACACTGGCTGTTTTAACTAAAGCTGAGAGATCTGGCCAAAACAAGCCATGTTTGGTTCAAAATGTGACGGTGCTACTGCTGAATGGACTGTAGTCTCACCTCGCCAGTCACAGTTGTGTAAATCACAGAGAAATTAACGTCTCTGTCACCGTATTCGTCGAGCACATAGTGTCCTCCCATACCTGGTTGAAGTAAGCACACACACACACACAAAGAAAGCATTTTTAATTTAATCAAAACAGAATTGCATTTAGATAAGTTAAGGCAAGATGAGTCAAAAGCGCTGCCAATATAATGAAAGGCCCTGATATTTTTCTTAGGTTTTGACCTCAGTCCCAGTCTTCTGAAGATTTTTATGGCTGCAATCAGAAAGACTAGTACAAAATGTTGGTTCCAGAGGAATCCTCCCACCACTGCCCTTTTTTAACCAACATAATCAACTTTGTTTAATGGACTTTTACCTTCTGACTTCAGAAGAACGAGGGGGGGGGGAATAGTGCAAAAAACGGGTTTCTATAATCACATAAACCTTTAGTGACCTTTGTCTTCTCTGCCTGAATATTATGAGTGAGCTATGACCTGCAACTGTGTTTCACTGATTGCTTTTGTTTTATCTATGTTCACAAAAAAATCACATAAAAGGACAATCATGACCTGTGGTTTTATCTATAGACATAAAGTTAAAACAATTATGTGGTCCCCACCTACTGTGCTTGCCTGTTATGTACTCTGATGTAATTCTCTGCTACAGCTAGGCAGGTCATTGCTGTAACCTGTGGTATAAAAGATGGTTCTTACCAGGCAGTCCTTGATTTTGGCTTCGCAGCACTCTTAAGGTTGTGCCCACTTTACCTCTTTGTGCCTGGTGTTTGGTTAGTGTTTATTAAATTCATTTTGCACTGTAATTCTGACCACCATTGTGTTTCAATCCTGGTGTTATTGCTGATCATACACACCTTCAAAGTTGGCATTTCCAAATGGGTTGTCACTCAGAGGCACTTGAAGGGATCTCTTATCTCGTTGGCTGAGCATCCTCTCTCTCAGCAATTTGCCAAACAGTAGAGTCCCATCATGATACCCAGCCACATAATCATTTATCTGCCCGTTAGATTGAGAAACAGGGAAAAAGAGTTACACAAAAACTGCTATCCTACACAATGCTGTTTGGGTGTTTAAGTTGCAGCTCACCGTGTCGTTGTATGGGGTTGAGCCAAATTCGTAGTTCCTCTGTGGCAGCGTGATCACCAGGACGTCCTGCATAAATTTACTGGATGTTTTGTTGATGTAATACTGAGGGCTGAAGGAAGGCAAAGGGTGTCACTATGAACAGTTACTTCTACATGTCACCTCTGTAGACGTTTTACTGTATACTCTGATTTCGCAATGGAAGCTGAAAAGTCCCATGAAGTGTTACGGTGTAGTGTAGGGGCAAAATGGAAAACCAACAAACAAAAAGCCAGACTTACTTGTAAATATCAAGGAGAATGAATATGATGTCCTCCTGTATCTCGCCCACCTTCCCCTTTATTGAAACTATGTCATCAATGCTTCCACATAGGATGAAAACTGAAATGAATAAATACATTTCATTAAAACAGAAAGGAAAATAGTTGAGCTGTACTGTACATCTAAACCCATTATTTTCCTGCAGTTCAGTATTACTATAAATGTACATCAAACAGGTCAGAAAATTCATTTTTAATTGTTTTTCTATCAATTCTAACAATAAGGCTAACGTGCTGATCTTTAGTGGGTATGTTTACTGTATTCATCATTATTAAATCTACAGTATCTAACCTTTTCAATTATTTTTGTTGTAGAAATCTGCTCCAAACCATGTCTTAATGTGGAGAGGAGCTGTCGAAGCCTCCTGTGACCCAGACTCACTGAACAGCACCGGCAGCAGTGCAGAGATATTAGCTTCCAAAAGGTTTTGAGCAGAACGAAAAAGAAATGTTCACGTTTGTACACTGGCTGTTTTAACTAAAGCTGAGAGATCTGGCCAAAACAAGCCATGTTTGGCTCAAAATGTGACGGTGCTACTGCTGAATGGACTGTAGTCTCACCTCGCCAGTCACAGTTGTGTAAATCACAGAGAAATTAACGTCTCTGTCACCGTATTCGTCGAGCACATAGTGTCCTCCCATACCTGGTTGAAGTAAGCACACACACACACACAAAGAAAGCATTTTTAATTTAATCAAAACAGAATTGCATTTAGATAAGTTAAGGCAAGATGAGTCAAAAGCGCTGCCAATATAATGAAAGGCCCTGATATTTTTCTTAGGTTTTGACCTCAGTCCCAGTCTTCTGAAGATTTTTATGGCTGCAATCAGAAAGACTAGTACAAAATATTGGTTCCAGAGGAATCCTCCCACCACTGCCCTTTTTTAACCAACATAATCAACTTTGTTTAATGGACTTTTACCTTCTGACTTCAGAAGAACGAGGGGGGGGGGAATAGTGCAAAAAACGGGTTTCTATAATCACATAAACCTTTAGTGACCTTTGTCTTCTCTGCCTGAATATTATGAGTGAGCTATGACCTGCAACTGTGTTTCACTGATTGCTTTTGTTTTATCTATGTTCACAAAAAAATCACATAAAAGGACAATCATGACCTGTGGTTTTATCTATAGACATAAAGTTAAAACAATTATGTGGTCCCCACCTACTGTGCTTGCCTGTTATGTACTCTGATGTAATTCTCTGCTACAGCTAGGCAGGTCATTGCTGTAACCTGTGGTATAAAAGATGGTTCTTACCAGGCAGTCCTTGATTTTGGCTTCGCAGCACTCTTAAGGTTGTGCCCACTTTACCTCTTTGTGCCTGGTGTTTGGTTAGTGTTTATTAAATTCATTTTGCACTGTAATTCTGACCACCATTGTGTTTCAATCCTGGTGTTATTGCTGATCATACACACCTTCAAAGTTGGCATTTCCAAATGGGTTGTCACTCAGAGGCACTTGAAGGGATCTCTTATCTCGTTGGCTGAGCATCCTCTCTCTCAGCAATTTGCCAAACAGTAGAGTCCCATCATGATACCCAGCCACATAATCATTTATCTGCCCGTTAGATTGAGAAACAGGGAAAAAGAGTTACACAAAAACTGCTATCCTACACAATGCTGTTTGGGTGTTTAAGTTGCAGCTCACCGTGTCGTTGTATGGGGTTGAGCCAAATTCGTAGTTCCTCTGTGGCAGCGTGATCACCAGGACGTCCTGCATAAATTTACTGGATGTTTTGTTGATGTAATACTGAGGGCTGAAGGAAGGCAAAGGGTGTCACTATGAACAGTTACTTCTACATGTCACCTCTGTAGACGTTTTACTGTATACTCTGATTTCGCAATGGACGCTGAAAAGTCCCATGAAGTGTCACGGTGTAGTGTAGGGGCAAAATGGAAAACCAACAAACAAAAAGCCAGACTTACTTGTAAATATCAAGGAGAATGAATATGATGTCCTCCTGTATCTCGCCCACCTTCCCCTTTATTGAAACTATGTCATCAATGCTTCCACATAGGATGAAAACTGAAATGAATAAATACATTTCATTAAAACAGAAAGGAAAATAGTTGAGCTGTACTGTACATCTAAACCCATTATTTTCCTGCAGTTCAGTATTACTATAAATGTACATCAAACAGGTCAGAAAATTCATTTTTAATTGTTTTTCTATCAATTCTAACAATAAGGCTAACGTGCTGATCTTTAGTGGGTATGTTTACTGTATTCATCATTATTAAATCTACAGTATCTAACCTTTTCAATTATTTTTGTTGTAGAAATCTGCTCCAAACCATGTCTTAATGTGGAGAGGAGCTGTCGAAGCCTCCTGTGACCCAGACTCACTGAACAGCACCGGCAGCAGTGCAGAGATATTAGCTTCCAAAAGGTTTTGAGCAGAACGGACCTCTCTAACCAATCAGAGATTTCCAAATATTTCTGCTTGATCGGTAAGGTTAGTTGTATTTTTATTTCTTGTAATTTCAGAACAACAAATATCTAGAGCAGAGTGGAGCAGGGAGAGGGAGTGCTGGGCAGAGCACAGTGCAGTGATTTGGAGTTTCATCCTATGCTACCTTAAGCTACATACTGTAGCTTTAACATGTTAGCATGCTAACATTTGCTAATTAGCACTAAACACAGAGTACAGCTGAGCCTGCTGGGAATGCTGGGAAAGTTTTCCAGGTACATGGTCATAAACCAAAGTACCATCCAACAGTTGTTGAAATACTTCACTCATTCTGCGCCCATAGTAGCGCAGGCTACATCATCTGACAACCATGATTTTCTGTACAAAATTTGTGCCAATCCATTCAATAGTTGTCAAGACATTTCAATAAAAGCCAAACATGTGTCAGGTTTGCCCGGCTGCACCTTCCTTTCTTCTCTTTTCTCGCCCTAGTCAGCTCCCTCACACTGATTATTTGATTAGACACACCTGCCCTGATTTTCTGACACTCATCAGCTGCACCTCTTTTGTCTCACTCCTCATTTATACTCTGCTCACCCATCACTCCCCTGCTAGTTCTTTCTACGTCGTCAGACCTCCCTAGGATTATCGCTCTTTCTTGTTTATTCCGTTATTCTACGTATGTTTGTGTGTTCACTGCTTCCTTCTACATTTGGCCCTCCCCTCGGGATCCTGGCCCCCTCAGCCCCCCCAGCCGCCACCACCATCACAGATCGATGCACAGTCTCCAATTTAACTGTATCTCTCCTAT